AGAGGGGGGCCCACACCCATCCCTTGAAGTAGATGCAGCGGCATTGTGATGCGCCGTAGTTTGAACGGCACATGCGGCTTGTGGATACGATCGACAAGCGTGTCGCAACGATAGTGGAAAAGATTGTGCGAGCTCGGCGGGTATTGCGATAATGAGTTGGTCATGTTGTTTGTATCACGTGCATTGTGATTTGCGAGGCGTGGGGTCATCCACATCCACCGCCTGAGGAACCGACCTCCGCTGAGACGGGCGATGGACGTCCACGCATGTGAAGAACGGTAGGTTTCCCAGGCGGTGGCTGCTGATGCACCCCGTCCTCGGCGTCCTCGGATTCATGATACTTAGTTCCATGCACGGTACAGTTGCGACAACATGTTGCACGCCAGAAGTGTTCGGTGAGTTTCCCGCCCCAGCGCTGGGTCGGCTCCTGTCGATTCCTCCTGGCTCCCCCGTGCCCTCTACGAGAAGCGGTGGCGGGGTGGTGATCGTCTGGTCCAGCGCAGTTTCTGCTTCACGTGCCATCGCCTCGAGCCACGCTCGCAGATCGAGCCCCCGCCCATCCAAAGTGAGTGTCTCTCGGCATGGCTGGGCGAGCCGCTGGCGAGGGTATATTGCTTGAGGTGGGCAGCGGGCTCTCTGCGCCATCGAGGTCGCGCGTTCCCGAGTCTCGAGCTCCCAGGCCTGATGGGGGCGCAGGGCTGAGACGCTACTTGCTTTCGAAGTACAGGAGTGGGCACATGACGGCGAAGGGCGTGTGCAGTATAGCATTCTATTCGTCGGCTGCTGGATCTCAGGGAGTGTCTGATTTGGCCCTGAGCCCAGATAATTGGCATCACACGGAGCATTTGAGACGTGTAGTGGATGCTGCGACCAAGGACAAAGCAAGGAGAAAAAAACACTCACCCTTATCATCGTCCCCTTTACTACCCGCTTCCCACTTTCACTCTCCGCCCTCCCCGTTCCACTTACCTCCTCTCGTACTGGTGGATATGGATATGGGTGGGCTGTCTTTTTCTCCACAGGACTCGTTCTACACAGCTGAAATCCCCATGTGGGACTCTGAATGCGAGGAGCGTCGGCTCCGCAAGTTCCCCTTCAGTCTTCCACACGAGCGTTTCGCTGCAGAGTTCGAGAAGAACCCCAGTGATTTCGACGTCGCTAAGGCGCGGAGATGGCACGCATAATTCTGACCATACGGCCTCCTGGGGCCAGTTTGTTTTGGGCGGGCGGCAGTGAGGACAGCGTTGTTTAAGCGAATCCATGAGGTGGCCTCGGGTGTGTGTTGGTGTGGTGTGGGATTATGCGTGCCGCCTCAGATAGAGCAACACGATCTGCCCAGCACGTGCGCGAACCACCCCGTGACCTTGGAGCACGGGTGCAAGTCGTTCCCGATCGGCTATTTTTCAGACGGTGTTCCACACACTAAGAACGATAGTTTCATAGCACACTATTGGAATAACATGTATACTGCGCGCGGGTATCTTATCTGCGCCGTCCGAAAGAAGGACCTATGTAGATGTGGGTGTAAGGGCTGGTGTACTTTCAGCGGGATTTTACGCGTGATCGTTTGGAGCATGCAGGCGTTAGCATCTGGCCTTCATCCCGAGTTTGATCACAATGGGTACCCGTTCACAGATCAGGTGCGCTGGGCCCGCCGTGGGTTCGAGATCGCCGAGGGCACTCGGGCTGCCCTCTGCGAATACAGGGCGGACCTACTGGAAATGACCGCCCTGCTCGGCTTCAAGACGTGGCAGAACCCGACCACGCCCTGCCTGGCATGCCGCACCACGCGCGCGGACATGTTCAACTTCCCTGTGAGCATGAACCGCTGCCGCTGGGCACAGAGAGATAATGCAGACTATGCCAGAAGCGTTCTAGCTGCCATGACACAGCGGATGGTGGCCGATCCAGACCAACTCCAACGACTAGTATCCAAGATGGCCCACGATGAAGTTCACGGGGGGTTTGCGCTGACAGAACCATTTCCCGAGTTGCAGTTGCTGGCTGGTCATAGGGTTGTCGAGGACGAGGTTGTCCAGGACATTGCTACCATAGCAGACCTCCCCACTCCAATTATGCTTACTTTTTTACTCGAAGACTGATGTTGGCATCAACTTAGTGTGCTCCCTGTTTAAGATCAGGGGGTTTGGAGTGGAGAGCATCCATTTAGATGGCATGCACATACTAGATTTAGGCGTTGCTCAATACCTAGCGGGCCTCGTGCTGCACACACTTATAAGAGGTAATTTCGCCCAGTCGTCGGCCTCCAGAGAGGAGGCGCGGCTCGCTGCAAACATGCGGCACCTTCGCCGCAGAATGAAATTATTTTATAACATGAGACGGGTTCACAAGAATAACTTGTCGCGCATCCAGCATCTTCACTGGAAACAAATTAAAGGAGACCCGCCAATATTAAAGGCCAAGGCGGCACAGACGCGACTACTAGTGCCATTGCTTCCAACACTGTGCAGGGAATACAAACGATTTCTCGGCCACAAGGGCCACCACTTGCACATGGCTTGCACTGCGCTTGCCGAAGTGTACAGTACTATGCAACGAGCTCGCGGCCGAACGATGTCTGATGTCGAATACAATACCATGGCCAATGCCACTATACGTTTTCTTAAGTTATGGCAGTTGTGCGAAGGACACCAGGTATATAAACACCATGGTTTTTTTGATTTAATCCGTAGGGCGAAAGACCACGGGAACCCAGCCAAGTACTGGTGCTACGCAGACGAAAGCATGAACAGATGTATGGGGACCGTGGCCAAAGCTCTGCATCACGGTCCAAATTTTTACTTTGCGTTCCTGCAGCGCATCCTTATAGAGCTATGATCGGGCGCCGCATCATGACCATGATCACCCGCATTACACCCACCACCGTGATCATCATTATCGTCATCACCATCATCGCCAGCATCATCATTATCATCATCACCATTTAACACCATCATATGTATTCAATGAAATGTATGCGGTGCCCCGTAGCTCCGTTTCACACGCCCTGTAGCACGGTTTCACACGCATGCCAATTTGCAGGCCGACTTGAGGCTTGAACGTGCGATTGACGTAGAACACCCCAAGGAGAATACGCATTCCTACGTGCATGTACGTGTGTGCGCTGGCACACTAAATGCCGATGTCCCCTCTTGCTCCCACGTACTCCTCTTCTGTTCTATGTCCTCGTTCCCCTCATGATCTTCCTCCACCCCCCCCCTCCTCCTCCTCCTCCTCCTCCTCCTCCTCCTCCTCTTCCTCCTCTTCCTCCTCCTCCTCCTCCTCCTCCTCCTCCTCCTCCCTCCGCCGCCTCCTTTTCGTCGTCCTCCCCCTCCTCCCCCTCCTCCCCCTCCTCCTTCTCCTCCTCCTCCTCCTCCTCCTCCTCCTCCCCCTCCTCTTCCTTTCCTTCCTCCTCTTCCACCTCTTCCTCCTCCTCCTCCTCCTCCGCTTTCCTCCTCCTCCTCCTCCTCCTCCCCCTCCTCTTCCTTTTCCCCCTCCTCCTCCTGCGTATTTTCCCACTGGGGTGCTATTCGACGTCGATGGCTCTGCGTGAGTTTCACCTACGCGCAGCAGGGATATCTGCGCAGGAGCCCGAGTTAAGCTCGATCCGCCGAGGGTGCCCTGGACAAAGTCGCCGCGCGAGGTGGGGCAGCTCATGCAATGTTGCCTGTGCCTGTGACCGTCCCTTGTCTTCTCACCAATTCATTCTTCTGCTCCACCTATTCGCTCTTCTGCTCCATGGAAATAAGGGAGGAGGAACGACAAGGGAAAAACAGGAGGACGAGACAAATAAAGGAGGAGGAACAACAGGGGAAAAACAGGAGGACGAAACATAAAAACAGGAAGGGCACGGAACAGGAGAGGAAGGGGAACAAATAATTACTTACATGTGAATGGTTTTTCTGGGAATTAGCGTTCGTGAATTGGTTTTTCCGAATTGAATGGCTTTTCTTGAATTGAATCGGTTGATTTCTCATGCAAGTGCGCATGCTCCAATTTTTCTCATGCGCCCAGATCTGCGGGTGCGAGGCCCTGGCGCTGGTGGAGGCCCCCCCGGCGGAGCTCGCTTTCCTCCAGATCTCGGCCAACGTGCGTCGGATTGCCCACCTGCTGCGGGCGGCCGGGCCGGAGGTGCCGCACGCCAGCCTGGTCTCCTTCGACGCGCAGCAGGCCCGGGCGCTGGGTGGCGTCCTCGGCGGGCCCCTCCCGCCCGAGGCGGTGGATCGGGCTACCTGCGCGGCCGCGGACGGGGGGCTCGGCCTCCGCCGGGCCGTCGACCTGCGCTACCCGGCGTTCCTCGCCAGCCGCGTGGAGGCGCGGGGGCTGGCAGAGGAGGTCCTGGACGCTATGCCGGAGCCGCGGCGCGGGGCGTTGCTGGCGCACTGGGGTTCCACTTCGGCGGACGCGCTGGCAGCATGGCGGGCAGAGCTCCCGGCCTCGACTGCAGAGGTTGCCGCCCAGCACCTCCAGGCCGGAGCGACGGCGGCGCTGACGCGGGCAGCGCAGCTTGCGGGGCGGGCGCCGCTGCCTCCCCCCTCGGGGCCCCCGCCGCCGACCGGCGCCGACGCGCTCCTGTCGCCGCCGGGGGCTGACGACTCCGAGCGCCCCGGGGCCGCGCCGGATCTCCAGGCGCGCCTGGCTGACCTTGTGTCCCGCCACCGCCTCGAGGCTGTGGAGGGCGCGCTGCTGCGGCGGCGCGACGTGGCAGGCCTGGAGCTCCTCCGCGACCTCCGAGCCCCAGGCACCGACCACGGTTGGCTTTGGGAGCTCTCCGGGGCGCTGGCGCTTCTCCCAGAGGAGTTCCTGATCGCGGCGCGCCTGCGCGTTGGCGCCCAGGTCTACGTGACCCCTGGCGCGCGCTCCCGGTGCGGCGCGGAGCGGGGCGTCGACGGGGCGCGCGCCGCGTGTTGTGCCCCGGGGGAGTCCACGCGCGGCCACAGCAGAGTGCGGGGCGATTTCCTGCGCTGGCCTCCCTGTCCGACTGGGCCGCTCGGTCGGAGGCGCCGGGCCTCATCGAGGCCGCGCCGCTTCTCCGCCCGGCCGACGTGCTCACCACGGCTGCCTTTGGCCGGCTGACGGCGCTCGACGTGGGCATCGTGGCGCCGCACGCGGCCGGGGCCGGCGAGGATGCTGCCGCCGCTTACGTGGTCAGCAAGGTCGGCAAGTACGCGCCGCACCTGCCGGCGCTGGCGGCCGACGGGATCGCCTACCGGCCGCTCGCCTGGACAACGTGGGGCCGCCCGCGCGAGGATGCGTCGGCCGCGGTCGCGTCCATGGCGGCCGCAGCGGGGAGGCGCCTGGGCGCGCCCTCGCACGCGCTCGCGGCGCGGGCCCGCACCGCCATCGGCGCCGCGATCTGGCGCCGAGCAGCGCGCATGGTCGGCGCGTGCGGCCCGCGGCTCGCCCGAGGGGATGTCGGTGCCCTCCTGCCGGGGGCCGGGGCCGCCGGTGCAGGTGACGCCGCCGACGCCGCCTCCGACGTCGATCCGCCCGCGGATCCCTCGCCGGCGGCGCCGTCCGACTCCTCCTCGTCCACCTCCTCGCCTGCCCCCTCCTGCCCGGCGTCGCCCGCTTCCTGCCCTGCCCGCCTGTCCCCCGCCCTTGACTTAACCGTTTGGGGGGGCGCGGCGGAGCCGGCAGGAGGCGAAGCGCTAGCGGGAGCGCTGGCCGGCGTGGCGGGCGAGGCGGACGCTGTCGCCGGCCCAGTTGGCACTGGCGGGCCCGCGGGGCCGGCGGGCCAGGTCGGCGCAGCCCTCCTGGGGGTCGGCGCAGCCGCAGGCGTCGCCGAGCTCGCGGCCGCGTTCGAGTCCATCGCGGGCGCGGTCGGCCCCGGGGGAGCCGGCGCGCCTGGCCCTGGCGACGCCGGAGGCGCTGCGGCGGAGGCTGCCAGCGCTGCGGGCTGCAGCGCCGCCGCGGGGGCCGCCGGCGAGCCGGCGGGCGGGGGCGCCTGGGGCCCGGCCTGGTTTGCCGGCCTCCGACTGGCGCACGGGCGCGCCCCCCCGGCGTAGCCGCCGTGCTGCCAGCGCGCGTGGGCGTGGAGGACGAGGGGTGTGGAGAGAAAGAAGAATAATAATAATAAACAAAAAATCGCGGGCTGCCTCTGGTCATCGTCGCTGCGTCCCCGCCGTCGGCGCTGCTGGCGTCCGCCAGCGCCGGCGCTGGAGCCGGCACCGAGGGGGGGGGGAACCCTGGCCCCCCCCGCGGGCTGCCTCTGGTCATCAGTGCTGCGGCTCCGCCGTCGGCGCTGCTGGCGGCCGCTAACGCCGGCGCCGGAGCCGGCGCCGATGGGGGGGTTTGAGCCCCTCCCCCCCCCTCGGGGGAGGGGCGGGGGTTCGGGGGGGGAGGGTTGGGGGGGTTGGGAGTCCCCTTGGGTTTGATCGACGGCGCCCAGTGTTGGGGGGGCCCACCCCCGTGTCGAAACGCGCCGCCGAATGTTCCCAGGGCAAGCGCCCGCGAAACGCGCTTTCGCCTACAGGGAGATCCCCCTCCCCGTGGGAGTGTGCCACGGGCGCGCTCTCTCAAAATAATGGAGGAAGAGGAGGAGGAGGAGGAGGAGCAAGCGGAGGACGCGGAGGAGGAGGATCTGCGCCGCCCGTGTGGGGTTCGAGTAGATGGGGTCTGTGGATCTAGTCGCATCGCCCATACATCGGCGACGCGTCCCGATGTGGAGCACGATTTTTTCCACGCCGACGTCGCTGATGCATCGGCGATCCGGCGCGAGTCAGACCCCATCTTCTCTGACTCAATGTGGGAGGCCGTCTTAACGAACGATGGACGAGGATCGCTGGGGGGGGGACGGGTTGAGGAAGAAGGAGGTTGAATAGCCAGGTGACACGAGGAGGGGGGACGTTTCTTGGACTTGCTGCAGAACACAGCACAGCGTGCGGGGAGGAATATTTCAGCAAAGGCGGGCGAGCACACGCCCGCCACCCCAAGTGTTTTGCCCCTCTAAGAGGGCAGACGTTTGCCAGGTGTTTCGGCCCCTCCCAGTCAGAGGGCGCGGGGAGCGGGGAGGCCCGCTGGCGCGGTGCCAAGACGCTGGAACGAGGCCCACTCTGGGCTCAGGAGGGGTTCTGGTTTTCGGGTCGCTTCTTCGAGCCAGGTAGTGGAGCCTCTTCGTGGCGAGGCTCTCCGTGGCCTCAAGCCCCTGCGTTCGTCAGTCTGGGCCCCCTGTGGGAGCACGATGACTGCAGTCGGGGCGGGCGGCGGGGGCTGGCTCGCCCTCAACGCTCCTCCGTCGGCCTCGCTGCGGCCGTGACCGCCCGCGCGTGAGCAATATCGCGGGCGATCCCGTGGATGCCCAGCGTACCAAGGCCGTCTCGCGTCGTTGAACAACATCGGACCGTTCTGTATGATTTTCGGCCTCTGGTGGGCTTGGCCCAGCCCCGGGACAGTGAATCACCACTCGGGATGAAAAGCCAGTCCCAGGGACAGGGTCGAGATCTTTGGGAGTCGATTCTGTGAAAAAAATAATGGCGCCGGGGGTCTTGGGTCGGGAGTTCGTAGAGAGGGGGCTTATCCCATGGATGGGGCTGGGAGACGAAACTAGGTGCATGCTCACACTTTCTTCTGCTGGGGACCGTTTGGAGCGATTTTCGTCTAATCCCACCTCTGCCCCGATCCTACCTTTACGTCCCTCCGACCGGGGAGGGCTAGTAGGTTCGTGTCGTGTTGCCGCGGCTGCGGCCCAGATGCGGGCGTTCCAGGGTGAAGCGCCGCCAACGGACGCCTGACCTCTGCACGTGGCATTGTCTGCACCTTGCCGCTTACACTAGCGAGATTCCGCCTTGACAACACATGCCAGGAGGCCTTCACCAGGGCCCGCAATCCTGACTCCTGTATGCCCGAGCCGCACCGACGGTGACGAAGGCCTGACGAGAACCAGTTGTCAGATCCATCCCCGAAGATGACCAGAGGGCTGGAGGCTGGCGGACAGAGGCACAGTATATCCACGCAGACGAAAGAGGGGGCATACTTGCGTCGTGCCCAAGTGTACAGACTGCTCGACGAACACAGGATGGGCGACGCTCCTTGGAGGGGCCCCTGAGAGTCAAAGGCTGGGGGCTCCGCGTCACAACGTGCATAATCTTGAGGCACGAGATTCTCAGTAGAGGCGTAGTCAGGATGATCTTTGTTACACGGGCAGCACCAGATACGATGCAGCATGGTCTCATCTTCATTGCCGCAACGAGGGCACAGTCACTTCTCGATTGGCCCGAAGAGAAATTGGTGCACCTAGGTCCACTGCGTGCCCGACGTGACAAAAGTTTTCAAGCCGAGGCGGGCCCAGTACAAGTCGCCACCAGATGCTAAGCCCGCTCCATTTTGGTCTGACACCGCCTGCTGCCACAAGAGCTGCCTGAAATCGTGCACGAGGTCGTCCAGCAGGTCAAGGACGTCGAAGCCTCACTCACAAGACATACGCCGTCTGGAGCGTGGGCAGGACAACAAGGTCAAGCAATCATAGATAGCAATGTATGAAACACTGCGCCGGCTAAATTCATCAAGAGGAGGAGGCGGAAGCAGCGGCAACAGCAGGAGAAGCTTGCTGGATCGCAATCAGGAAGTCGTGAGGTCGTGATTTGCCACTCCTCGAGAGCGTCGCCAGCAGGTCGCCTCCACCGTCGGTTGCTTGAGACTTGCCAGCCTGTAGCTATCAAAGTGGCAACGACTGCAGGAAAGGGATGTTTTACCAACACACGGCGACATCGACAACAAGGATTTCTCCTCCTCCTTATCCTCCTTTGCCCCATTCAACTTTTTTATGTCTCGAGCGCATGATTCACCACACACTACAGTATCAGGAGGCTGCGGCCTCACTCACCGGGTCTCACGAGGCCCAGGCAGCTGTCCGCATTGGTGGCCGTTCGTTCGTTCGCTCATCTCTTGAGGCTCGTTGCTGCCGAACGCTGAGCTATGTGAGGCCGAGCAAGCTACAGCTGATGGTTCACGAAGCGTTCTGGCTTTCACACGGCCGTGTGCTCATCAACCAATGCCGGTGAGGAGGATGTGGACGAGGAGGTGCAAAGCACGAGGAGCATGAGGGGGACCGCCGTGAAGGAAGGAGGAGGGGTGATCAGCAGGGGGATTGGCAGGAGGATGAACGAAGAGATGGGGGCTGATTATGATGATGATGATGACGATGATGATGAGTATGATGATGATAATGACTATGAGGAGGAGGATGAGGATGAAGATGAGAGTGAGGATGAGGATGAGGACGAGGACGAGGACGAGGATGATAATGAGGAAGAGGATGAGGATGATAATGAGGATTAGGATGACGATGACGATGAAGATGACGATGAGAGTGAGGATGACGATGACAATGACAATGATGACGATGAGCGTTAGGATGACGATGACGATGAGGAGAGGGAGAAGGATGAGGATCGAGGATCGAGGATCGAGGATCGAGGATGAGGATGAGATGAGGGTGATGATGAAGATGATGAGGACGATGCTGATGCTGATGCGGATGATGATGATGATGCTGATGATGATGACGATGGTAATGATGATGTTGATTCTGATGATGGTGATGATGATGATGATGATGCTGATGATGGTAATGAGAAGGAGGAGGAGAAGGAGCAGGAGGAGGATGAGAAAGAGGAAAAAGAGAAGGAGTAGGGGAAATAGGAAAAAGAGGAGGACGAGACAGAGAAAGAGGAAACATATGATGATCATCATCATGATGCTGATGATCACGATGGTGATGATGATGATGATTAGGATGATAATCATGATGATGATGCTGATGATGATGCTGCTGAAGATGATGACGAGGACGAGGATGAGGATGATGATGATGATGATGATGATAATGGTGGTGATGATGATGATGCAGATGATGATGATGATGATGCTGATGATAATGATATCAATGATGATGATGCTGATGATGATGCTGCTGCTGATGATGACGATGGCGATGGCAATGATGATGACGATGGTGATGATGGTGGTGGTGGTAGTGGTGGTGATGATGTTGATGATTATGATGATGATGATGATGATGATGATGATGATGATGATGATGATGATGATGATGATGATGATGATGATGGTTATGGTGGTGATGATGATGATGATGAGGATGATGATGAGGATGAGGATGAGGAGGATGAGGATGAGGATGAGGATGAGGATGAGGATGAGGAGGAGGAGGAGGATGATGCTGATGCTGATGAGGATGTGGATGAGGATGAGGATGATGATGATGGTGATGATGATGATGATAAGGAGGAGGAGGAGAAGGAGAAGGAGGAGGGAGGAGGTAGGAGCGAGGAAGGGGGAGGCGGGAGGAGAGAGGAGAGAGGAGTGTGAGCGTGGACAAAGCTTTTGCTGTCCTATTTTTTATGTTCCCCGGCATGGCTGCCTTCGCCCTGGAGGGCAATGTTAGTCCACCTGCTGGCTAAAAAACGATGATCGGTTCTTACTCGACCCACTCACTGATGCTCAGCGGGAACAGGACGAGGAGACGGAGAGGGAGGCGGAGGCGGACGACGGCTTCGGCAGCGGTGGCGGCAGCGGCAGTGGCGATGATTTGGCGGCGGTGGCGAAGACGGCGACCGAGCCAGGAATTGCACCGAGCCGGCGGTGGAGGGCTGCAGCAGACTGGACCCGTTCGCGGTGCAGCGCACGGTGGTGGATTGGAGCGCGTGGGCGGCCGCCGAGTTCAGCACCAGCGACAGGGCTGGGCAAGGGGCCAGGGAAAGAGGAGAAGGAGGAGGAGGAGGAGTAGTAGGAGGAGGAGGTGGAGGAGGGGCTGGCGAGTACTCTGTGCCCTTGTGGGCCTGCTTTCCAGCCTGTTCTTTGTTTCGTGCGCTTTTCCTGCTCTCTGCCACGCCCACCAGGTGTAATACGTGGGCCTTATCGCCCAAGTCAGGATCCACTTTTTCCAGACGAGCGCTACATCCACGAACCCCAATTTCGCCCAAGTAAACATGAGTTAGGAGGGAGGATCGAGGATAAGGATCAGAGGAGGAAAAGACACCGATACCGC